AAATGTCGTTGCTGCTTTCGCAGCCGAACTGCTGCTACACAAAAAGAATATGGAAAGACGTGAGTTTCACAATTTTCCGAATTTATTAGTATCCTGCAGTAACGACGACTTGTTTGCCTACTACCAACATTTGGAAAACCTCTACATTGACTTCACCGAACGATACCAGGACATTTTGAACTTCGAAATACCAGACTGGGTGTTGGATCCGTCTTCAAATGTCAACACAGCAATATCACCTCAGCTGGAAAAAGAACTTATAGAATTGACAACGAACGAGGAAATAAAAATCAAGTTCAAAAATGGCTACCAAGAATTTTGGCTATAAAAACCGATCCCGCAATTGTACCCTAGATTGTGGTCAATCAATCAAAGATTCTTGATAGCATTCCCATCGCCACATTTGTGTGAACGTGGTTTTAGTGCTGTGACATCGCTGCTCACTAAAAAGAGAAATCGTTTGCATGTTACCGAACGTGGTGACTTGCGGTTGTTCTTGAGTAAATTGGAACCTGATATCAACAAACTTATTAAACAGCATCAGATTCATCCTTCACATTAGTTTTTATATTAGAATCGATTATGTTTCTTTTATTTTGAATAAAAAATACTCTGTCTGAATACTATAAAGTTGCGTTTCAATAATCATTCTCATTGGCAGGTGTAGGCCGTAAGAGTTAACTTGAGACCTGAGCACCGTTGTGTACTACCTACTGCGCTCAGGTCTGCAGTTAACTCTTGCGGGTTATAGTAAAAGTCTTGTCTAGAATGAATGTTTAATCTCCGCTAATATAGCTCACAATAATTAATTTAATTTGAAGTTATAGTGGTTTTTAAGTAGGTGAAAAAATGGGGGCGCTAAAAAATATTTTTTTCTCAAAGTGGGCAGTAGACAAAATAAGTTTGGGAACCCCTGGTCTAGAGTAACGCACTGTATGGATGCGAAACATGGACAATAACAAACAAAGACAGAAAGAGTGGAGTCTTGGAAACGGTTGGGGAGAATTTTTTTACATACAATAGAGAGGAGAAATGGGAAAATGTTCGGATATTTGTTATGTAATGGCGAATTTGAAAGAGTAGAAGGGAAAAGAAAGAGAGGAAGAAAAAGAATGGTGTATAGTGAAGTAAACAGCTATAAAGAGGTCAAGGAACTGATGGTATGAACTGAGCTATGAACTGTGAAGAGTAAGAAGGCTACACCGACAAGAGTCTGACACTTAAATAGGATGATGATAAAAGTAAAATCCAAAGAATTACTAACAGTCATGGAACAAAAGTTGTTGTATATGATTATAGTAATATAGTCATGCGAGGTCGTTAGTATTTTATAAATAACATTGTATATATATAAAATAGCAAATATATAAACAAAAATGTATTTACAGGTAAAGAATGTAATAAAATGTAATTGTAATTACAAAGGTCCTCTAAAATCTCAATATCTATATAATTACGAAGAGCTTTTTATCAAAGAAATCTCAAACATATGAAAACGTGATTAGCATAAAATTTTAACTTTCACTAGACAAATAATTATTATATAGATTTCACTAAATAGCATAAGTTTTATAGATTGTACTAATATAATCACTTTGCCATAAAGTATTCTACTTTACTAACTGAATAGTGAAGTGAACCGTTATTTCTTGGGGTGAAGCCTTGTATCTTTTCTGCATTGAATACAATATTTACGGCCAATTATCCGTAGCTCTACAACCAAAACACTGTAAGTCCCAGTATAATGTTTTGTAATTTTATTACAACAGAATCTTTCGGAAGCTATCAAGGGAAAAAAAATGTTTTTAGATAGAAATAGTTATTAATTATTTACGAAAAATGGTTGAATCATATTATTACTTTAACTGGAACAATTTTTTGTGTTATTAATCGGGAAAATAACAAAAAGTGGAAAAGTCCTTTTTGTAGCTTTTCCCCAAAATGCTGTTTTGAACTTCCAGTGCATTGGTTTGACACAGTAGTAAAGACGCTAGAAATTTAAAAACGAAGGTAAAAATTGATTGGCGTTATTTATGACTAACCATAAGTAACCCCATAATTTTTCTTGGATCACACTCAAATGCCTAGTTAGTAAAGTAGGATTTTCTGTTTTTTAACTACATAATATTCTATGTATTTACATTTTACCTAGTGTCAATTTTAGTACATAAATTAGGCATACTTTATATAGGAATTCGGTAGCAAGTGGTCGCTTTTCTTGTCTAACAAGCTATTCTGCGTATACTCTACATCTAAAATGCATAAAATTTGTAACAAACGTTTTATATACCTTCACCTTTATCAAAATTTATTACTCTATTAGGGCACTACAAAATTATTAACCACATTAGTGATCAAAGTGACAAATTTAGCAATATAATAATAAGGCCCGGGCCTTACTGGCTTCTACATTTTCTTAATTTCTATTCTATACTCCATATCGCTATTAAGGCCCTTTTACTATCAACCGGTTAAACCCCGGAGGTGTATTGCTCTGCTTGCGTATAGCCAACATCAAAACTGCCCTAACATGTTGTGATGATAACCATCGCACATGACTTCTTTAATATTGACAATCGTCTTCACAAACTCACAATTTTTTCGTAAATTCCACTTCCAAAATATCTACAAACAAACTCCAAAGTTTCTTACTCATTCTTCTTACGGGAATCTGGCTCAAGAATGAGTATTAGGGAATTAATAAAAGATAGTCAATTTGACAACTTCAAGTGGAATTTGCTTACCTACAAAATAAATGTATATTTAATTTTTTAATTTGATGTTGTTTGAGTAATTAGCATAATCGTAATTAGTGCAACGAGTATAATCTAGCAAATTACTAGGAATATGTCGGAAAACATGTACGATGTTTACGGTTTTTTTCTTTAGTGCAAGTCAGCGCAAGTACCACAGATAATACACAGCAGATAAGCAAAAGGGCTCTAAGACCTGCAAGATAGGAAAAGAGCTCTACCATTAGGTTTTTATTAATATTCGGCCTATTGTTGAAAAAACGTCTATCAGCCAGGAAGACTAAGAGCAATGGTGGTGCAGTAGATGATACATATATATATATTATTAGAGCAACACTATACAATAGAGAGCAAACGCTCTACAGTATAGCCATTTTCTCAATATCTCTCGACAATCTTCGGATTTCTGAATTTTCGCGAACACAAATTTCCATTAGACTTATAACATCCATTTATAATAATTTAAATTCAGAACTAAATTGTTGTTTTGTTTTGATTTCCATGTGTCCTATTCATCATCATCATCATCAGCGTAGCGCAGACCACTGCTGGACATAGGCCTCTCAAAACGCACGTCATTTGGCCCGGTCCTCAGTTTGTCGCAACCATCTGCCTTTCACAAATCGTCACTCCATCTGGCCAGAGGGCGTCCTACACTAAAGTAGGAGCTGGTGCCCGCGACTTCGTCTGCGTAGAATAAGTGCTTCCAGTGGCCTATTGTACTACATTAATTTTCATGCTTTTACGGGTTCTCCTTATAAACTTCATCCCCTATTTCACCCTCTTAAAGATTCATTTTTGTGACAAAAAGTCCTCTTAGGTACCTGATATCTCTATACTAAAATTCATCAACATTGGCTCGGTTTAGGCATGAAAACAAATAAACCGAGTTACTTTCAGAGATACTTTCGAATTTAATTATTAGTTTGGATGTGTTGTACATAGAGTTACAAAACTATTTCCCTTTTTATTATAACGTTAACCCCTTAACAACGTACCAAGCTAGTTAACAAAAATATGAACCGAATAAAATCTACATTTTACTACTACTAGCTACTCTTATTATACTTACAAGTCGATTATATGCGTCCGATCTGTATCGTGTGCAAAGGACAACTGTTAGAAGTTCGACAACAAACGAAACTTGAAAATTACCGAGAGATATTAAGAATAGTACTGTACGTTAATACTTTACAGTTTTAATAAGAAAGGCCATTCAAATACCCTACCATATCTTAATTATCTACACACAAGCATGTTTATAAAAGAATATCGTATACAGAAATGTATGAAATACTTTATTATTTATCAAAATAAAGGCAATGCTGTAACTGCTAGCATGCTTTAACAAAGTAAATGCCATAGCTATAATTAAATTTCAACTGTTGACGACCGGCACGAATGTAACTACATACAAATCCCTTTAGCTTATTCAGTTCGTACGTGCATTCATACGTGTCGATATTTAGGCAAAGGTGCCTTACAGCAAAATTTTAAGGTTTAATTTTGCGCTATGTAAATGTGTATCAATAACCGAGAATTGTACCTCAAAGGTCTATACAGTACGTTTACCTGTGGATTGACACATAACGCCCACTTTAGCATCAATTAATGAAACTTGCAATTTTTACGTAACAACGTTATATACATACTTCGATTCAGAATTTAAAGTACTATGTTGTGATGTAAATAATTGTAAATTGCGTCCATTAAAAACCCTCATACAACGTCTCATATGTGGAGGCTTATAGCATTGTGCGGGCTTTTAGTGTTGTAAACGACGATATCGCACACCGACTTCAAAAGGGTCACAAGTAAAAATCGTATTTTTTTATGGGCGCGTACAGCAAATTCGCTGTTTTACGTTAAAAAAAATACGGTATCGCTAGTCTGAAGCTCTATTGAAGACGACTATGCCTCTACCACGAGTTTACTGTGACAGTTAATAATAATAACGCACACACTCAACATAGCCCCGCACTAGGGTAACCCTGTGTCGCGGGTGCCATGGACACACACAGATAGACAATCACAAATTACATCCAAACTCACGGCAGAAATAAATGTAGGCGATATAAATATTTCTCCCGGCCCAGGAATCGAACCTGGGACCTCTGCGTGGCAGTACGGCATGGTAACCGTTCGGCCACGGAGCAGCAGGTCGCTAGCGGTAACTGTCACTGTAACCTCATGGTAGAGGCACTGATTACTGATTACATTTTACTTGCCACATTTACCATTTTCGAGTTGTATGATTGTTGAAGGTGTTGTGCGATATGTTTACACATCGTACAATAATCGCCGGAATTTGTTTGTAGAAAGTCTATAATAATTAATCAATTACACACATACCAAAGCTATTATTCTTTTATAATTTCAATTAGTACGCAGAACGAGTTTAAACTACACTATGTACTAACAATATCAAACTCCTGCCAATTTATAACATAGCCCTTATTAAAGAACCCAATAAAGCTATTACATTGTCAAAAGTAAATTAAAAACCAACCAAGCAAATATGAAAATACCAATTTGTGACTTAAAAACTACGAATCCTTCTTTCTATCGTTTGCCGGCGAGCCGGGCAGGTATCGCTTTAGTCAGTCAATGCTCAAATCGTTTGAGAAATGCCTGGACAGCTTACCAACGTCAAGGCCTGTGAAATCTGCGAATATGTCTGTAGTGGCCGTAGAGGACTTCCCTGGTGAAGTGCTACTGCCTGACGCTTGTTCGGATGATTCGATCGTTACTAACCGGTCTTCTGTACTGCTTACTTCAAACGGTTCGGAAATACCTGTACATAAATAAGCATTCATTCATTAGCTTTCAAAAAAAACGGCTACTGATTAGGCAATATGTGCTATACTAAAATTAATAATCTAGGATGATCCCTGTGACAGTTCATAAAAATTTACACAGTATAACCTTGTAACGACGTGCACTAATTTATATTTCATAAACTATTTTTATAAGACTCGCTTTTAAATAAATAATCTTTGTTTAAGTAAATGCATTACATTAAAGTAAAAATAACACCAAATCAACGTTTATTTGTGAGAAATAAGGGGAAAACCATTTTTTGTCTCAATAATTGATTAATTATTTACGACATCGTTACCTACTTCATTACACTGCATTTGCTAGAGATGAGGTATATTGATAAAAAGTTTTCGATAATTTAATGAATAAATGTGCGAGTATTCATTCGTAAAGTATGAATATTAATCATAGGCAATGGATTAACATCTCAGTGTTATTACTTTTTTGAGACGTATAAATTATTAATGACATGATATTTTTTTTATATTTCTAAAATATCTATTGAAATTTACAGTTACATCAACAGTCTCAGTATTCTACAATATGTATCACAGAGAGTGCGCGACGGAATTGCATTCACCATCATTTTATTATCATCGGGGACTAGATAGAGGCTAAGGTTCCAACACTATGTTGTTGATATACCCAAGATTTGCATGTTACGCTTCCACATGGAGTTTTCACTCCTAACGAGCTTGGACCTTTTCAAAGCCACCGACAGTTAATAGGCATTATAAAAAAGGTGTGTGCAGGCTCCATCGTCGACCTTATTGTCATTTTCCGTCAGGTGAGATGGAGGTCTAATGCGCCGTTATTTTAGCCATAAAAAAGGAAATTTACGTTACGAATTTGTGAGATTTCTTAACCACTATCGAAGTACTATAATAACATAAAAAACAATAAATTCAATACAAAAACTGTGTGTCTTCTCTAAACTTAAGGCCCTACACTACTAGCGTAGGGTACTGTAGTTAATCAAAGTAAGGACCTACTGATAGTTACTTTGATTGATGGAGAGTCCTAACTTGTGTACAAGTTTAACCCCCGCGACCTTAATTTGTTGAACCAACTAGTGTATAGTAACACATAATCCAGTATTAAATAACAAACACAAATGCTGCATACCTAAAACACTTCTAACATCGTTATTAGGCTGACTAAAGTAGATAAATCGGTAGAAGCCTGGTGTCCGCACGCCGCTACCCACAGGAAAGCTCAGAGTGATCGTGCGCGGCTGTCCCTCTGCTGCAGGCGCCTGAGGCACACTGACTTTTGCAAGGTACTCGTATGCTATATAGTCGTCTAAGCTGTGGAAATTTGCCTAAAAAAGGAATATTCATTAAAGTGTTGGTACTTCCAAAAAATTGTAACAGACTAGAGGCATCATCTGACGGCTGAATTAGAAATCAAATGGAGTAAACATTGAATGTTGTGTTCACCAATAATTGGCTTGTGTATCAGAATTATGTACACTTATTAGTCTTAATTTACTAAATATTTTAATATATATGCTGTTGGTGTATCTATCATAAATAAATAAATAAATCAACAGGCTATTTTACGAATATCCAACATCCATGGTTCAGAGCTGTTAAACAACTTAAAGTTGCTAGAGGCTTGGTTTCGGGTAAAACCAAACGTGGAATCCTTTTTTCGATACATGTGGGATCGTCGAAAATTAAACTATTGAACTGGTTAATTAGTTTATTTGTAAATGAAATTTGGAAGACAAACACGGAACAGAAAAAAAAAACACCTTACAGCTCGAACGTCGTCTATCTGAATGTCCTTTCATTTGCGCCAACCATTCACTCGTCAAGACATCTTCCAGTCATTCTATCCGCTCATTTACATCTATGATTCATTCACAATGTTACCATGCATTCCCACATACATTTTATACAACTTATTTATAGTAATAGGCTCAGAGTGTATACATTCATATATTGTATAGAGTATATACGAGTATACTTACATCATAAATGCCGATCCAATCGTTGGGGTTTATTTCGACATCAGGCGTTAATGTGCACTGTGTTCTGAAGTCGGCGTCTCCAATGTACCAAACCCCCATTATAGGCGCAAACTCTACGGTTTTCTCCGTGTAATTTGCGAATACCTGCCAAATAAATTGATACTAAATTTCTTCGTAATCACTTTTTTACTTCGAGTATTATGGACTTTATAATATAGACGTAAATTAATAATCCAATATGAAAACAGTATTTAAATTCGTTGAAAAATAAAATAGGTGAAATACAGAAATTAGATGTTATAAAGTATGCCCAGTACCTGTTTGTTTCGTCATAACCCTACTACATACGCCTACAAGCGATTTGTCGCTTACCACAGTTTTGCTAAAAAGGAATGGAACCTCCTCCTCCCCACTTACCACCCATTTTATTCATTATAAATGATACAAATATCTAACAATCCCAAAGAAATTTTAATTCATTCGATCTGGCTAGACTTGAACCAGCTGCATTTTCGCCTAAAGCGGGCTATCCATCTATCGCTCTCCCAACTGAGCTAGATAACGAATCTGCAGACCTTACTAATTTCTCTCATTATCATTAATACCTAGTAATTATTTACTTGTAGGGAGTAATTTCTGATAAAAACATGCGACATGCGAAGATAAGTATATTATAAAATACTTTGTTAACGTGCAACCAAATAGAAGTTTCAAAAATAATTTAATAATAACACAAACAAAGCTACAAAAATTGCCAAATAACACACACACACAGACCAGAATAACATAACGTGCACACACTCATAGCCCCGCAATAGGGCAACCCTGGATCGCGGGTGCCTTGGACACACACATAGACAACCACAAATTACACCCAAACTCACGAGAGATAAGAAATGTGAGGCACACAAATATTTCTCCCGGCCCGGGAATCGAACCCGGGACCTCTGCGTGGCAGTCCAGGATGGTAACCATTCGACCACAGAGGAAGTTTGGCAATTTTATAAAAAGCTTTTTTATAGTCCTCTATATAACTTCACATGTAAATGAAAAACGTTATTAAATATCTTTTTGTTATTAAGATATCACATATAAAGGCTGACAGGTTACTTTTGACCATAAATTTGTGATGCTAATAATAATAATAATAATAATAATAATAACGCACACACTCAACATAGCCCCGCACTAGGGAAACCCTGTGTCGCGGGTGCCATGGACACCCACGTAGACAACCACAAATTAGACCCAAACTCACGAGAGAAATAAATGTGAATGCTAAATTTCAATTCCGATACTAATTAAACAAAAATTTGTTTGCAAAAATTCCTGGTGGTTACCACACAACTAGTCAGCATTTAAGTACCTTACCTGTTCGTCTAATTGTGAGGGTTCTTCCTCGTTCACCATTGCAGCCATAGAGTCAACGCTTATGTTAGACGAATCCGGCACATCCGCAAACGCATATGACAATGCTTCGGCGGCCGGTGGAATAAGAGCACTTCGCATTCGTATAGGCGACATCACACTCATATTGTCGGCTACTACGGAGCGTGTGAAGCCGTGACGTATCTACCATGCAAGCATGCAATGTGTTAATTACAACAGTGTGACCATTAAAGCTGAAACACGCCTTAGATAGTTGCTGTATAAAAATCAGCAAGCTAACCTGTAAGACAAAACAATCCTATGGCATAGATATTTTTCAGCGTTGCGGTTGAAACCACATTTCATTTTATTTTTATTTTATAGATAAGGTACATCAACAGTAGTACATATACCCTTAGATAACAGTGTAATTTTACATTAGTATTGTACTTATTTGTCTATTTATTACAGACGTATAGAGCATTTAAGGTAATAAAATAATTATAAGCAACAAAAAGTAAAACAAAAAATTATAAAATTACTCCGGAAGCGATTCGAGAAAGTTATTTTTTAAAACATTACGGGAAGAACGAAAAATGTCTAATCTATATATATATATATATATATATATTTGGCTGTAAGTAGAACATAATCTAGGTAACCTAATAATATGTTCATATATATTATTTCAGGGTTTCCTTTTCTTCTGTAAATTAATGGAATAAAAAAGATCCAGCGTGCTGGGCAACTTACTATCCCTGGTTCAATAAGACGTCTTAAGAAATGCAAAATCCTAGAACTGGATGAACTTGTCTAAAAGTCCAACTACAAATGGCGAGATTCCAGCCACTCAGAAGCTCGAGATACAGCTATTCTCGCGCTTCTATGTCGCTTCTTGCGCAAGTCGCGCCTTGGCGTGCTAGCACTGCTGCTTGGGTGTTGACTCTACAACATGTAACTCATCTGTTCTTTTTTTTTTTATAAAATATAAGTGCACATTTGACCTCCATCTCACCTGATGGAAAGTGACGATGAAGTCGACGATGGAGCATGCACACCTAAATAATGCCTATTCAATCACGCCTTGAAAAGGCCTAAGTTATAAGGTTCAGGGAACAAGTCTGCAGGCAGGGAATTCCACTCCAAAGCCGTTCGCCATATAAACGTGGAAGCGTAACGCTTCGTGCGAATCTTTGGAATATCCACAACATAGGGGTGGAACCCATGCCTACGCCTAGTCCCCCGGTGATGGAAAGGGGAAGGCGGAGGAAGGGGAAATCGTGTAATTCCATCGCACACTTTCCGTGATATATCCTGCAAAATACCGATAAGCGGGCAACTGTACGGCGGTGTTCAAGGCTTTGCAGCTTCGCCTCCGCTAATTCCAAGACACCAATAAGCCTCTTGTCACGATTGTCAATTGAATCCAAAATGACCAGTTGATATGTAGCAGAGCCATCCCAAAGGTTGCAGCAGTACTCCATGCACGATCGGACGTGTGCTTGGTACAGCTGAAGCAACTGTCCCGGTGTAAAGCAACGCCTCACCCTGGAAAGGATGCGAAGCTTCCTTGCTGCATTTTGGCCATGAATTCAATGTATCTGCCGAAGTTCAAATTAGACGACAGGTCCATTCCAAGTAGGTGGAGGCAGTCGGCTATCGGTATGGATATATCACGAAAAGTCGGAGTCAGCTCGAAGGGACTCCGTTTTGTGGAGAATAGATACGCCTGAGATTTGGTAGCGTTAAATTTGACAAGATTGGCATCACTCAATCGGAGACTGCCTGGAGTGTCAAATTCAAACGGCTAACCATGGACTCTCTACAAGACTGGATTTCCTCTCCACTGACCCTTGCATTGGTCAAGTACATATCTACAACTGTGCTGTCATCAGTATACGCAAAGGTACCTGGAATTAACATATCATTGATATGCAGTAGAAAGAGAGTTGCAGACAGAACGGAACCCTGAGGAACTCTATCTTTATCTATCGCCATATGTTCGGAAGTGTAGACTTCTAAGACCACTCGAATCGAACGTTCACTCAAGAAATCCGAGATCCAATTGCAAAAGTCAGTGGGAAGCCCATAACAGGGAAGCTTACTTAAAAGGCTTGCGTGCCAGACCCTGTCAAAAGCTATAGCAATGTCCAAAGACACTGCAAGTGCTTCGCCTTGGTTTTCTATAGCCTCGCTCCATATGTGACAGGCATACAAAGAAGATCCCCAGTAGATCGCCCTCGTCGAAATCCATACTGGCGATCACTGAGGAGGTCGTTGTCTTCAAGGCACGACAGGAGACGGTTGTTGAGTACGCGTTCCAAGACCTTGCAGTATGGAAGTGACTAAGATAGGTCTATAGTTGGCAGGGTCAGCTCTGCTTCCCTTTTTCGGCACAGGTTGCACGTTTGCAAGCTTCCACAACCTGGGAACTACACCAGTCTCAAGTGACAGGCGGTACGGGCAAGATTATTGCAGGAATTCCATCTGGCCCGCTAGCTTTATTCACGTCTAGATTTCGCAGAGTTCTAAGTACTTCTTTTTGGCGTATGCGAACTGGCGCTATAGTGTAGCCAGTCTGAGGTAAAGTAGGTGGTAGGTTCCCTGCGGCATCCAGACGCGAACTCTCTGCAAAGAGTGAGGCAAAAAGATTCGCCTTCTCTTCCGGAGTATAAGCCAGCGAGCCATCCGGCCTCAGGAGAGGTGGCAGAGATTGGCGACAAAAGTCAGATTCGACCGCTTTGGCCAGGGACCAAAAGGATTTGCTGCCTTCTGGATAAGAGGCAAGATTAGCCCCTATGCTGCGCGCACAGTGGGGCCTCCACAACCACAGAGTAGCGGTCTGGATCAGTTGTTAACAGAAGGTCCAAACAATTAGCCGTATGAGACTCAACATCTGATATCCTGGTGTCCATAGCAATTAAGTTTTATTGAATGTCAGGATGTTTCACCAACATGATATCCAACTATTTTTTTGTGAAATTACTCCACTAGTTTGTCATTTACAAAAAAATCACTTCGATCCAGTAGTATTCGAACCAACGTCTCCCAGCAAACTGTGCCAGACGCTATGCCAAACTAAGCCACGGAACAAACCAACGGACCTCACCAATTTTTCCATTCGTTTGTGCAGATCTTTATTTTGGTTTTGGAACGACTTTTTTGCCGTAGCGCCATCTGCGAGAAATCTATGAAATTATATCATCTGTTCAAAGTTATTAGACTGATCACAAAATAACGTTGAACAAAATCTTGACCACAATTTCACCTGATGTTAAGTGACGACGTGGCTTGTAAAACAGTTCGTCTTTTTTTATTAAAAAATAAGTGCGCATTTGATACCGATAACGACGAAATCGACGATTTAGGTGTGCATACACCTAAATAATGCCTATTCATCTAGGGAATGCCACCTTACCTATTTCAACTGCCTAGCAGTAATGTGAGCATTACAGCGCTCCGGTTTTGAAGAATGTTGGTACAGTGCGGTTGATACAGGCATATCGGGCTAGTCAACTTACGTCTCAGGGTAACGGGCGCAGATGCAGTCCCCCTCATCGTTATGATTTAAATCTCGCGCACGACAAGGCGCACGACTTGTTCGTCCCGTCATTTAGTATCATAAAAAAGACGACTTTACGCGTTTGTCTAGTAAATGCCTATTCAAGTTATTTTCAAGAGAAATAGCCCTAAACAGTTTTCGTGGTTCAAATGGCAACATAACCGGAATATCAACACCACCAGGCCATGTATTGTCTTATGCGGTTGGCAGGTTAGCAACACTAGGGCATACATGGACGACGGCGCTTCATACTATAGATATTAGTCTAGTATACTATACTACCGTCCGCTAACTAAAACGCGGCTAAGTGACAAAATCATTTTGTATGATATCATAAAAAATCTTAACCCACGTTTAGAATATTGAAATTGTTTAATGATATTTCAGCTATGCATCGTTAGAGTAAGCTCCGATAAGTCGAACACGTATTTTAACTGTTATTAAAAAATACAATTTGTGCTCATCTTTTGCTATTTAACTGCCTCGGTGGCCGAACGGTTACCATGGCTGTCACGCAGAGGTCCTGGTTCGATTCCCAGGCCGGGAGAAGTATGTGTATGGCCTATATTTATTTTTCTCGTGAGTTTAGGTGTAATTTGTAGTTGTCTATGTGTGTGCCCATGGCACCCGCGACACAGGGTTCCCCTAATGCGGGGCTATGAGTGTGTTGCGTTTATTTTTTATTTTATTATTATTTAAAACAAATATTTGACCATTTGTCACTTAACCACATTTTAGTTAGTGGACAGCAGTATAGCATTCATGCATTAATAAAGCGCGCGTAGACAATGTAGTCCATATCTCAAGAAAAACAAATTGTACAATATTATTGTCTATAGTACCAACTTTGGAGCCATTCGAGTTTTACGGAAATTACCGATTGTAACCCGTTCTCCGTGCGAAACAATTAGGTACTGTCAAATACGTAATACTCGACCTAATAAAAATACAGTGTCACTTAGGAAGCTTCATTCGCATCATGCGTTTTTTATAATTTGAGTATTACTTATTTCAAGGTAATTGTTTCGCGCGGATGTCGGACGAAGTACGGGAAGACCCCGAGTCACGAGTCTCCCCGAGTCACAAGTCTCCACTAAGAAGAGTCTAGGTCATAGTCTAATCCAGTTGAAGACTTCACTAATTTCCCAAAGATTGTGAATCTTCTTTAGCGAGAGATATTGCTACTGAACCTTCACAAATGTACGAAGAAACTTAGAAATTAAAAATTTAAGTACAGCAAAAGATAAATGGTTTGACCTCGGCTCAAACACAGGGCGTGGGTTGAATCCGGGGTTGCACCTCTGGATTTCTCTCTGGAGTTTATGTGCGATAGAACAATGACGAAATTATTGTTAAAAGAATTCTTTAGCGTCTTCAAGCGGCATAATAAAGTTTAAATAAAATAAATTAATTAGACTTAGACAGGCCTTTAGTATAATTGGAAAAATTTATCTAAGTGCAGAACTAAAATCATATTTAAATTAAATTCAAATAACTAATTAGTATGTAAACGGACTGATATCTACAACTATCGTTGAGCTAACCATCAAAAATAGATTTTCAATACCTACCTATAGATAATTCACGTAATATCAAATGTACTGATTCGACTGATTTGAATAAAAGATTAACTACTGTATTCCAAACGAGAAAGTAGTAAAACTAAGAAAAAGTTCCCAATAACACGGATAGATGGCATGTTTCACAAAAAATATTTTATGCCAGAATTACCAGCGCATAGTATATATTAACTCAGTTTTCTCATAGCTTAACTTTGGACCATACCTTATAAAAAATATTTTCCTCTGAACTTTCGTCACGTCAAAAGCCCACGGCACCATTCAACTTATATTAACTCTGTTTAAGGCTTCTGTAATTTATTTTGCTATAATAATATACCGAATATATTTTATTGAGTAATTTAATATTATTATAACCTCCAAAACTTCATACACATATATGATTGAGGAATATCTTCAATTTCAGACTCCTCACAATAGTAAACCCAAAACCAAATTTTTTCAGGAATTTAAAGTCCATATTTTCACATATTTTTCATAAACATACGCATAAAAATTACGTCAACAAAAAATTATATGGGAGTTCGTCATTATTCTTTAATTTTAAAATTTACCATAACCTATTCGGTAAACGAAAACATCGTGAGGAAAGCTGCAAAGCAATTTAATTAGGTTTGTGAAGTTCTCAATCACACACATAGTCAATATTTGAAGTGACTTTATCTTTGTGCTACACTCGCTTATTTTCGTAAATCTCGAATGTCTCCATCGTATATACGCAAGCAACCAAATGTATACTGATGTCCGTGGGTTACACATTCTTGAATAACGAGCAAGAAAATAGGACTCAAAATTGACCGAGCATTACAATTCTTTCATATCTCACTTAAGTGAATTAACACTATTGACCTCGTGCTCTGTCACCGATAAAATTAACTCTGGGCTCCAACGTTGAATATTTGATACAAAACCAGCGCAATAGGTATCATTTTAGTACACTTTTAATTTACCCATCCACAGCTTTGCTTTCCATCAGGTTAGTGTGGGCAAACAGAAACTTATCTTAAATAAATAACAATATTTAATTTGAATTTTTCTCAAAACATCTTTACCATACAGTGTGTTGATTTGTATCCTCGCCACATTTAAGAAATTAATAATAGAAATAATGCTAAATCATCTAAAAGTTAAAAAAGTAAAGTTTTCCAAAATAGTCTCAAGTCATATGCACCACGCAAGGGCAGTGACCCCGCCACCCACATCACCGAGCGATACGTAATCTTTCTCGATCGCTTATTAACTTATTTTTTTCATTGATTATGTACTAGTATTGTTATAATTTACTATTTATTTACATTAATTAGAAAAGATGACTGAAAAAAGGTTTTTGTAACTTATATTTGGTACTTACCAACTTTAGGTCACATGAAAGTATTGCTAGAAGTACCTAGCTTCACAGCTGCAGAGATTCGCACGTGAGTTTCGTTTCAACATTAGACTCCACAACTTTGAAAGCAGAAACTTCGACACTCGTATCCTCCGCGTAAACCAAACGTATGAAATCATGCCATAAGAATAGACACGCACTTGTACTTGACGGATTACCATGGAGAATCTGGTGAACCTCGTAGCGATTCTTGTTTGCACTACTAACTCTTGTTTATATACCAAACCACATGGCATTTTGTGACAGACTAGAATAGAATGTATGTGGAATGTCAGCGTGACGTAGACGCAGTACGGGAAGCAAGGTCTACTGATCTACCAATCGCGCGCTCGATACGACACTCTCCCGCCGTCGCTACCCGTACCCCACCAGCAAATAGATCTAAAATGCGTTTCTTTCTGCGCATTTAAGGTCATTGTTCAAAATGTTTGCAAGTGTCGTGCAAGTCAATGACCTTTGCATCAAATTTGTTTAATGCAATGAAAAAAAAAATTAGATTTTACGATTTTTTTCGATTTATTTTTTTAGGATTGGGTTCAGTTTCGGATATAGAATGACCTCTGTAAATATGGCGAGAATGCAAATCAACACATTGTATAGAGATAATGTTGAGTTTAATAAATGTTCATATTATATTTGAATGCGCTGTTGTACCAACCAATTCTCAACGTATTCTTTTTCTATACATAGATATATATAACGTCCTTTTGCCATTGGGGTAGATTTTGTATTGGGGCAGAAGTCACAGCCGTTCACTTGCTACAATCCTTAACACATATTTTGTCCATAAGAGCTATGCATAGTAATCATGTTTGTGATTTTGTAAGTACGTACGTGGACTCCTACCGTAAATAGATTTGTGAATTTTGTCTGAAATGCAAGTAATATTTTATTCTTTTTATGTTTTATTTCAATATTAGTGAAAATAATATGACAAAATGTCAATAACCACCGGTACCTCTACTACGAGACTGCAAAGCTGACTGTCGCTAACGACCATAAAATAAGTGACAATTGTATATGGTAAATTGTACAACGCTCATGGCTGTCATAAGAAGAAGCAACATTTTTTATACAAATATTGGGTTGACCAAAAAGTACAACCGTTATGAAAGTAGAATGAAAAACATTTATAACAATGAATATCAAACTTTAATCAATTGTGTATTATATTATACCATCTTTTATGTATTTTTAGGATTCCCTTTCATAAAAATTACCGTCTTTACAGTACTTTTAAAATACAGTTTTGATGGTAAATAAGTCGAGTTCATTCAAAGAATTTTGTAAAAACCGAGACAAGTGAAAATCTGAAGGGGTTATGTCGGACAAATAAGATGGATGAGGTAACACATCCCTTTACTAGGGGTAAGGTAGGGGTTTTTATTTTTTTTTAGCTTTGTAAAGATATGTTTAACACAGCACTCGACTCGAACGCTAAGAACCCTTATAATGCAACGATTAGGATTAGGAGTGTTTCACATATTATACATAATTTGTTTCATGTAATTCGTTTTTTTATGACTTTCGTATGATAAAAGAACTTTTGAAGTATGATTACATGTGGCTCGATTACACGAAAGGTACGAAATAACGATATATTATACACATGTATATGTATGTAGCTAAAGAATAATAATTGTAACATGTAATGCCATACTACGAATATTGCTGAATGTATGTGGCCACACCTAACAGTATATAAATGCATAGATTACATCATACATGCTTTAGTTATCATGCTATTAAACTCCATCCACTTATAGCAAACATGTAAACAAAGTACAATTACTTTTGGACCCCAAAATGTACATAATGTACGTACCGAATTCTGAAATCAATTTTCGTATTATCTGTAAGCGAAATTAGTTCATTGAAATTCCCATATTAAAGTACTTTAAGTTAATATTAGCATTAACTTTGCCTTACATGTTTGCACATTTTCTACGCCTACGGCACAGGTGTCCAACTTTTATAGTGATCAAAACAAAATTATGTACAAAAAGGTTACAATAAAACATTTTAACTTTTCATAGAAATTTCCATTTTTAGTTACGAAATTTAAAATTGTCCTCCTGTATCTCAATACATCAAATACGACCCAAAATCAAGACTCCCATTGATCTATTAACATAAATATCCTCCTAAAAGTAAAACGATATCTTATCAAATGTCCAAATTTAGTAAAAAAATCTAAGATTTTGTGCACTTTAAATGTGGTCGATGTCGTAAAAGGCAGGGTTACTTAACCTGTCGTCCATGGACAGTGGTCCGTGTAATGAACTCCGTGGATCCTTGCGAGCCTACCTAACATAATAGCACAACAGCAACCGTCACACTAACTATTCATATGTAATTAAGTAAAGTTTAAACGCATACAATATAAGCTAGTAAAAGCTAAACCTGGTTTTTATATCTTTTCGGAAAGAATCCGTGGGCTAATAACATTTTGAAAGGGGTAGATGACTAGAAAAATGTCATGCGCTCAACAAATACTTTATAACACTGACAAAATTGAATTCTAACCTTAATGTTATACTGTGCAACCACAGGTTTGTGGTCACTGATGGTGTAATGTGGTATGTGTTGATACGATATCAAGTCCGCTCGTAGCGTTATGTTCTCGTAGTTGTTAGCAATAACCTTGTTCAGGATTCTGTCAGTCCAGGATGGTTTTCGCCTGAAAAAATGAGCCATGCAATTACACCGATTACCAATATTCCAAACTTCTCACGCGGTGGTTCCCAAAATGGTTTTTGTTGACCCCATGCGTCCATTCCAACCTACAAGGGGTTGGTGTCAACGAAAAAAATAGGGACATTGGAACCCTTAATGGGCAGGCCATGACCAAAATTTAGGCTTTCCATAAGTGGAATAATCCACGTTACACAGATTAGCAGGGTCGGTATCCCCACTTAAGTATCCAGTATTTGTACTAAGTGCTATACAAATAGTGGATATGGATGGAAATGAGGGCACCGACTGTACGTATGTTCAGTTAGATAACTTATTTTTATAAAGTTTCTCACTAGCATTGTGTCAGCTGTCAAACACACATTTGAAGTTGATGAATTTGTAAAACAATTCAATATTAGAAGGGGCAAGGGATCTATGCAAAACTGAAAAAATTGGCACGCGGTCTACCAGATAAAAAGTTTGTGAGCCAATTTTTTAAGTTATGGCGAGGTATTTTAACGCAAGTCTAGATTTTAGGAGGTGAGGTGAGGGGGGTCGCTCCCCGCACTCAGCGCACTGTAAATTTATAAGAATATAATAAGAACAGGCCGAGAAAATTTTACACAGATCCGACGTCGACAAGTGCCCGATGGCGTCTGACGGAGCAGCAGGCGGCGCTGTGTGTCGTAAAATTTTCGTCAGTCAGTCATTTTGGGATAAATGTGATTTTAGTACTAACAAGGCTTGTAAAAATTATGTACAAAGAAAGATATTTTATTCGAAAGTAATTCGTTTTAGTCTTTTATTTTAGCCCGTTTTCAGGATTTTATACAGGCTGTACATTTGAAAGTGAGACATACTTATAGAATACGTTATATTCCTGATTCTGAACCCAAAGAAATAATAAACTAATGAACTTAAACTTTACAAAAAAACTTTTTTTTTTATCGACTACTACTTGTGAACAACATTAGTTATCGATTATTGCTCCGACGCAGCGGCGGGCGGTGGCGTGGCTTTGTTCTCTGCCACGGCGGCGAAAAACAAAGCAATGATCGGGGGTGGGGGCGGTGGCGCATACGCGAAATTACAGAGACAGTGCACGCGCGACCTTGGTTTAACGAAGACACGTAAATTATTTGTACTTCCGCTCGCCCGATCGCCGCAAAATGGATATTTATTCTAACGTCGAATTGACTGAGATAGTCCGACTTTACGCAATAAGTGGTGATGGTGTGACGCAAGCTATTGAAATGTTCGGAGAAATATTCCCAAATCGGAGTTTACGCGGAGGAGGTGAACAGTGTCAAAGTGTTGCGTGAGAGAATTATCTCAGCATTTTATACAGTGAGACAAAATGTGCTTGTGTTGAAAAATTTAAAACAAAATTTACGATGCCGTGCCAGACTATGTATTGTGGAAAACGGTGGACATTTTGAACACTTGCTCCATACCGCGTAAGTGTAAATAAACTGTAAATAACTAAAAAAATCGATCATTGTAAATAACGTGATTTCACATTTTAAACTACGTTGAAAACCTCAATTCTTATTAATGTTAACTAGTTACCAAATCATAAACTTATCCTTTTTAGTGCGTAAAACATTTCGATGAGTTCAAGTAAAAAATAATTAACATAAGCTAGAACGTAATCATTTTGATAACAGCTATTTCCATCATAACATAAATGAGAAAGTGAGTAACTTAGTTTTTATTTTCTAGAGAAATGAGGTGCTTTGTCGGTCCTAAGTCCGCGAAAAAGTAGGAAGGGAGATGTGAAATCATTGTTGTTGTTGCTGTCTCACTCGGCGCTCGCTTAGTAGTAGGGAATACTATATTGCACTCGAAATCAAGCGTAAAGGGAATCGGTTTATTCCTATGTACACTCCACAACACATTTGTTGATTTATTTTTTGTTCTATCCCATATCATAATTTTATTTCAGTCTATGTTAAATTGTAACATGATTTACTATGACATGTATGAGTATGTCTCACTTTCAAATATACAACCTGTATAACCGGATAAAGCATCGTGTAACACATTAACACATTCTTTAGACAATATCTTCAGGTGTACCGTATATTTTTTGTAAGACCATTATTTAATAGTAAACACGTAAACTATTTTAAAACTAGCAAAACAGCTTTTTCCGATTCTCCTCAGGTGACTGGAGTAAAAGCCATCTAATCTAAACGTTAAAGTAAAGGCAAATCCTATTAAAAAATAAATAATTGAACTTCAGAAATTGAAACACAGAGAAAGATTTCGAAATTTCACTCCTAAATTCAGACTAACTTAGACGTTTAGACTTATTATCTCAAATCAGAACATTCTAAGTACTACTCTCAACGACAATGGTCATTCAACAAAAAAAACATCGACTTACAAATGTCGGTCTATTTATATTCATTAGAAGTTATAAATTCCGGATACAATGCAGATTTTTCCCACGTTCTTACAGGTGTTTCACGCAATACGTATAAGAGGTGTCTTAAAAAATCCTAACTAAATTTCAGTAGATGATCGTACATATTAATAAAAACCATAATTGTAAACAATATTATATATAAACAAAACACCACAAAATATCTGGGTTGGGTTGTTTTGTATGCACAACCCGACAAATGCTGAGTGGTGACCATTTTGGATCTCAATGTTTAATATTAAGATTTACTTTGTATTGCTAGTAGAGAACAAATAAATATTATTTTCTTTCTTTTCTTTCTTTCTTTCAAAAAGAAAATTATTATTCGCGAAAAAGCATTTTGTTTCCCGCGAAAGGGGAAAAGCACCCTATCGGACAGTTGCCTAATTTCGGATAATAGACTATCTCTTTTTTTTCTATAGTCATCTATTTTTTATTTCATTTTTAAAAAAATAAATATAAAGTGACACGACTGTAAAAAAAATCAGCTGACTAGTTTAGAAAATGGCAGAACAGTGAGACCACGTTACTTTTTCCGATACAAAATAATATATTATTCTATGAAAAAGTATTGTTTTCGCCGGGGTAAGTACAAATTATCGTTGCAAATGCTATATTTTATAAAGTCTAGCATCTAATAATACAAATACATAAATATTTTCAAACCGATAATGTTTACTCAGTTGTAGTGTGTAGTTTCTTTTAGATTTGTGAAATCTTAATATCGGATATCTATGCGAACCTAATATTGGATATCTGATATTAGGATACTTTTGTTTAAT